ACCCTGCACCTATCTCTGGAAACCCAGGTGCTGTCTGCTGGCATCCGGAGGTGGGGAGCTGAAGGGGGCATTCACACCTGGCCTAGCTTTGGAGTGTGGTTTTCTCACCTATTTCCATCCAAATCTTTATACGTCTCCCGTGGAGGCCCTGGGGGACTATTGGCCCCTTCCAGAGGAAGGAGACAGTAGGGTGATTGGACTAAATCTGGAACTGGGCCTCTGTCTAGGGTTTAATAATCATCACAAAGGTCTTCCTGGCTAGGGTACAGGAGTTCGGAGCCTCCTAAGGGGATTTCACATTTAGGATTCTCAGGCCTCCTTTGATCCCCTACCCCATGCTGAGGGAGTATCTAGGCTGGGCCTTCAGCGATGGCCACGTAATGCATAACTATGGTTCCTTACCACACTCAGTACAAGATCTTCAACACTTGGTAATAAAAATAGCTCGCCTTTGCTGCGTGCTTATTAGGCACCAAATCCCTCACAACTATTTTGGGCAGAAGATACTGTTACAGATAAGGAGAAAAAAAAAAGGCTGGGGCGCCTGGGTGGCTCAGTGGGTTAAGCCGCTGCCTTCGGCTCAGGTCATGATCCCAGGTCCTGGGTTCAAGCCCCACATCGGGCTTTCTGCTCAGCAGGGAGCCTGCTTCCTCCTCTCTCTCTGCCTGCCTCTCTGCTTACTTGTGATTTCTCTCTGTCAAATAAATAAATAAAATCTTTAAAAAAAAAAAAAAAAAAGGCTTAGGGTCTTTAACTGCTCCCAGTGACAAGGCACCCAAAGAGCTGGGCTGGCGCTGAAAGCCCAAGCTAGGACTCTGAAACCAGTGCTTTCTGCCTCCCAGCCAGCTGCACCTCCAAACCTGTCCATCTTCCCCCTCCTGCTGGTAGTTCATATTCCCCTGACCTTGTATCAAGAGTTTTTCCCAGGCCCTTCTCTCACCTCTCTGATCCACCCACTGGGATTTTCAATAGCCCATCATCAATCATTGTCTCTCCAATTATTCCAGACCCTCCTAGGGACACAAAGGGATTAATTCCCCAGTTTATCTTCAGAGCTCTTATTCTACCACTGGCTAGCTCTATGGCCTTAGTCAAATTACTTGGCTCCTCTGTGCCTCAATGTCCTTATCCATACATTGGGAATAAAGACAATACCTACCTCCACAGGCTTTGGTGAGAATTGAAATCATATAATGCCTGTAAGTCATTTAGCACAATGTCTAAAATGAAATCCCAAGGAAAAGCAGAATGGTTTAGGTCATCAGTTTAGTACCACTGACCCTAATCCACCACTCCCTAGGGATAGGCTTCCCTCCCCTCCTAAAGATCCCTTGGGGGGTCCTGGTTGGTGGGGAACTAGGACAACATACTGGGAAGCTGGAGGAGGGGAGCCAACTGGTTCCATATTTATATGAAATATTTTCTAGCTTCACATCCCAGGACTCCCTAGAAATAAGTGCAAACCCAGGTTGGCTTCCTTTCCTCCCGTCCACACCTCTCCACCAACAGACAGCTTTATCTCCTAACTTGACTCTTAAAATCTTTTTTTTTTTTTTAAGATTTAATTTATTGGGGCGCCTGGGTATCTCAGTCATTATGTGTCTGTCTTCGGCTCAGGTAGTAATCCCAGGGTCCTCCAATCGAGCCCCGCATCAGGCTCCTTGTTCAGTGGGAAGTCTTCTTCTCCCTCTCCCTCTGCCTGCTGCTCCCCCTACTTGTGCTCTCTCTCTCTCTCTCTCTCTCTCTCTCTCATGGTCTCTCTCTCTCTCTGTCAAATAAATAAATAAAATCTTTAAAAAATTAAAAAGATTTAATTTATTTGAGAGAGTGTGTGTGTGTGTGTGTGTGCGCACGTGTGCGTGCATGCACACACAAGCAGGGGGAGGGATGGAGAGAGAAGGAGAAGCAGACTCTGGGCTGAACAGAAAGCCTGACGCAGGGCTCAATCCCAGGACCCTGGGATCATGACCTGAACCAAAGGCAGGTGCTTAACTGACTGAGCCACCCAAGTGCCCCCTTGACTCCTAAAATCTGACACTAAATAGGTGCATCTATATTTTGACAATATAGTTAAAAATGGGGGCGTCTGAGCTCCCCCTGCTTGTGCTTGCTCTCTCTCTCTGTCAAATACAAAAATAAAGTCTTAAAAAAAAAATGGATGCCCTTTGACCTAGCAAATCCACACCTAGAAATGTACCTTGAAATAACTAAGGGACCTTGCGAAGATTTTGTTAGAAGGATGGTCCTCTTGTGTTATTTATAACCAGAAACAAGCTCTGTGTCTAATGATAGGTGATGGGCTACACACACACACACACACACACACATCTATCTCTAACGCAACACTCTATAGCCATTACAAATTGTGCAGCAGAAGGCTTTAGTGATTGGAGCAAATGTTCAGAATATGTTTTGTTTAACTTTTCATATTTTTGAGGAAAATGATAAAATTCATACAAAATATTTCTTTTTGTTGCTTATCTGTGGCTTCTAATTTATTTGCAAACAAGCATATATTTATCCTGTAATGAGAAAAGAAAAAGCCCACATTTGGCAAAACTTGGGTAGAGATGGTAGTTGAGAGACTGGCTTTATATTGAGCTCCTGGATGGATTCCTGGCTCCCTGTGGCCCACCCACTGAACTCCAGAATAAGAAACCCCAGCAGATCTAAAAGTTTGGGTCAAAAGAAAAGCAGTAGCAACAAAGAAGACCCAAGCACTTCTGTGGTCTCTTTTTGGATACTCTTTGGCATCAGTAGGTGTGTATTTGGTGATCTGGAGAGTTGGGGACACCACCAGTCAGGGCCAAGGAGGGCACTTCCCTTTTTTTGATTCGGACAATTGATGCTTTCTCATTCTCATACAAATGGACCTCCAAGACAAATCCTCAAGGAGCTGCCTTCCATCCAGTGGGTCCTTTGGTGTCCACTGGCACCTAAAGGTCTGAGCTACCTCCTCCAGAGGTGCAGCCTTCCCATCTTTCTCCCACTGTTGTCCCCCCTCCATTGTCCTCTGTTCAGGTGATGAACCCAGGCTATCTGTGAGGGAGAGGAGAGGATGCTCATTTCTACCCAGGGGTGCTGTGAATGATGACTACAGAGATTGACTGGGGGTAGTTCATATTGGTTGGGGAGTCTGCAGAAGACTTAGAGGATAAGCTGGACACTAGACTTCTGTATCTTCAACAGCTTCTTGAGTGAGTATTTTTTGAATACTCCCTGCATGTCATGTTTAGCACTAAGCACTTTCACAGTATCATCTGATGCCATTTGAGGCCTCTAAGCACTGCACAGCATCGCCGGTCCCTAGTTCACATAATCCTCTCATTCCACTTGTCACATCTTGACAAGTCATCAGAGATGACTGACTCATCTCTGTCATTAGACTGTGAGTCCCAAGAGGGCAAGAAGAACACTGTTCTCTATGTCCCATCTATTGAGCATTGCCCAGCCCAATGTCTAGAACACATATTCATAAGTCCTGGGGAAACTCAGATAGCTGGGAAGGGGTTTAATACTCCATGCCCTTCACTTCTGTGAGATTGGCCCAGTTCAGTGGAGGCTTGGGATGACGTGATTGGTGGGTGAGTGCTGAAGGACATTGGGCATGAGTATGGGAGTACCAGGTTATTTAAGGAGTCTGCTGGGGTCCATATTACCCTCAGAGACTGTCGATTCAGACCTCCACCAGCTCACATGGTCCCAGATCTGGTTGGTCTCCTCACATATGCTTGCCTCTGGTTTTCATGGGACCAATGCCAATGAACAGGTGACTCAGTGCCATCTGTTCCCACATCCAGAAAAGTTGCTCAGATAAGTGTGCAGCAATAGCCTCTAAGAACCTATAAACCGGTCTGTCTGGAGACCTGACCTGGTTCCTGTGCCGGGTGTGGTGGTCAGGGGGGCTCCTCAGAGCCTGGTCACCTGTTGAGCTAACGGGTGAGGGAAACTCTTTTTATTTGCTCCTCCCTCCCTGATCCTCTTCTCTTTTAATATCCCAACCCAATCAACTCCCCAGCTATTTCTGTCCCTTTAAGCACAGGATGCTCAAACATATTCATAACTGTGACCTATTGTTCCTTAGTCTTTCCATTTTGTTTCTGATAACGCCAATTCTGGGCATCTTCAAACTTTGGAATCATGGTGGGGAGGGTTTGACAGGTTGCTCTCCTCAAAAGTGAGGAGAGAAAATGGGGAAGGGTAGTCAGATCAAGGCACAGAGAAGTCTGTGATAAAACCAAGGAAGGATGTGGGGAGGAAGAGATGGGAAATGACAGGAAATGAGACTGAAAGGTCCTTGCGGGCTAAGCTAAAGGTTTGGACTGGATTCTAAGGGCAGTCAGAACCCATCGAAAAGTCTGGGTCAGTGACTATATTCCAACAACACAAAGAGAAACGTTCAAATAGCTGATATGTACTAACCACTTGCTTTATAATGAAAAACATGATTCATGTAGTCCTCCCAACAATATTATGAGTGGTATTACCAATTCCATCTAATCTGAAGGGAAACTGGAGCAGGAGAAGATTATTTCTTCAAGGTCAGAGCTAGGGTTTTGATTCTAGACTCTATTCCTCTACTTACGCAGGTAGATCTGAGAGAGGGCAGGGTTCAGGGAAGGGCTCTGGAGAGAGGGCAGAAAAGCCAACCAGACTCCACGACTGCCAGGATGTGGGTGTGAGGACGACAGCGCTCTCCAAACTGGTGCCCAAGTTTCGGAACCGCGCATGTTTCACAACCGCGGACTCTCTAAGGCAAAAGCGCGGAGGTGGGGGGCCAGAGGCGGCCAGGCAGTGGCGCTGGCTCGGAAACTAACCGCTCCGCCCGGGTAGGGCGGGACCTGTCGCCCAAGCGGAACCGGAGCCGGAGCCGGAACCCGCGCCCTCGCGCGAGCCCGAACCCGAGCCCGAGCCCGAGCCCGAGCCCGAGCCCGAGCCCGAGCCGGAGCCGGAGCGATCCCTGGCAGGCTAGGCAGGTCTTCCTTGACCTCGCCGGCCGGGCCGAGAAGTGCCAGGAGCAGTGCCATCTAGCGGACGCGCGGGCCTTGGCACCCGAGCCCCATGAGGTCACCGCCCCGAGGTATGCCGGGAATGGCAGAAGCTGGCGCGAGGGGACCAAAGAGACAGAGGATGGGTTTGGGACCAGCCGCAGTCTGGGCCTGTCTGACCTCTCTCCAACTGTGGATTCAGCGCGCGCCCGAGTGTGGGGCCTTCCGACTCGGGTCCCCGACGTGCCGTACCTTCCCCACCCCTATCCTGTGCGTCCTCAGGCAGCAGGCATGGCCACAGTGGTCTGTCCCTCTCTGACTCCTCAGATTCCACATCGGATCCCTTCCTTCCTCCCTCATACTCCTCCAACTTCCCCTACCAGATTCTGGGTTCCCCCACACATTCTCCTGCCTTCTGGCTGCTTTCCTTCTCTTGTCTCCATCACCGGGTCCGGTGGATGCTCCAGTCCCACCTCCTCTCCCAAAGCTGGCTTCTTCTTTGTCCCCCACCGCCTCGTTCTTGATTCAGGCCAACATCCACTCCAGGCTGGAAGGCCACATCAGCCAGCAGTACAGTGCTCTTCAACCCATTTTCCACATTGCAGAGGGGTCTTCCTAAAGATTCTGGTGTTCCCAGGATGAACGCTCTTCAGTTGTTTTCCTGTTCCTTTGGTCTAAAGATCAAACTCGGTCTGACCTACCAGGCTTTCACAGTGTGGCCCCTGTGAACTCCAGCCCATCTTTCCTAATGCCTTTCTCACATGTTGAGCCAGAGTCCCACCTGTATTGAAATCACTAGCGGGGCTTGTTAACTGTGCTGATTTGGGGTCCCTACCTCAGGCCCTGGAAGTGGCACCCATGCTTGACAGGTCTCTTGTGGTTGACACTCACTTCTTGCAGCTCTTGAAAAATCCCAGGGCTCTTTCCCTCTGGCCTACACACAGGCTCCCCCTGCCTAGAGACTATACCTCACCCACTTCCTTTGGATTGAGTTTAAAGGCCACCTCTCTCCTGCCCTCTGCAAGCCCTGGGCTTTCTCCTAAAACAGCACTAATTAAATGGAGTTTTGTCTGTCCCCTCCTTTGTCTGTCCCTACAACCACAACGTAAGCTCCCATGGCAAGGTGCCTGGCACAGAGGAGGGGCTCAATAAATACTTGTTCACCATTGAGTGAGTGAATGTCTGTGGATATTCCAAGCCAAGGGCAACTCTAGGACCTGGCATGATGACATGAGAAAGTAGAGCAACCCAGAATAAATGAGCCCTGAGGATGGAGGAGGGGGAATGATTGGGCAGCTGTGGGCCCTTCCAGTTCCCCTCATACTACTACCCACAGGGGTCTGCGTCAGAGGCACACTGCTGCCAAGGAAGCCAAGGAGAACCGGTGTCCATGTATCAGCCTTCCTCTCTGTGGCCTCATGGACCTATCCCTCCTCCTCTGCTGGGGTTTTGAATCCCCCTTTCCCATCCAGGTCATCTGAGGAATGACATCGTTGTACTCCTGGAAGCACCCTGTCTCTCTGTTTTTTGGCCTATCAGAGAGATCCCAAGCCCATTCCATATGAATGATTCATTACAGCCTCAAGGAATGGAAAGCCTGAGAGTCAGCCTCAGACAGCAGGGCCACCCCCTGTCCAACCTGTAGGGAAGGCACTAAGGGAAACCAGTCAGCAGGTGCCCTCTAGAGTCAACACAGACCACTGCTGTGTCCTGAGTCTTCTCTAGTTACAGAGTCAGGGTAACTGTTGTCCCCAGGTCTCTGGGTGGCTCAGCCAATTAAGCATCTGCCTTTGGCTCAGGTTGGGTCCTGGGATCGAGCCCCGCATTGGGCTCCCTGCTTAGTGGGGAGTCTGCTTCTCCCTCTGCCCCTGCCCCACACTTGTGCTCTCTCTCTTGCAAAAATAAATAAATAAAATCTTAAGAAAAACCCCCAAAACCTTATGCTGCTGCCCTCAAAGATGTCTCCATCTAGATGGGGGTTGTGGGAAAGACTTGAACTGGGTCTACAGTATTACTATGGTAATAGTTGCTAGGATTCTTTCTTTTTTTTTTTTTTTTAAGAGAGAGAGCAAGCACAAGAGAGAGCGAGCGAGGGTAGAGGAGGGGCAGAGGGAGGGGGAGAGAGAGAATCCCAAGATCCCAAGATTTTTTTTTTTTTTTTTTTTTTCTCAAAAGGGATCGGGAGACACACAGAGACCGAGACCGGGATCGGGGTGTGATTGACTATGACCGGGATCGATTTGATAGAGAACGCCGACCTCGAGATGATAGGACTCAGTCATATCGAGACAAAAAAGACCATTCCTCATCCAGAAGAGGGGGATTTGATAGGCCATCCTATGACCGGAAGTCTGACCGACCAGCCTACGAAGGTCCATCCATGTTTGGAGGAGAACGAAGACCTTACCAAGAGGAACGAATGCCCCTGCCAGCTCCTTCACTAAGCCACCAGCCACCTCCAGCTCCACGGGTTGAGAAGAAACCCGAATCTAAGAACGTGGATGATATTTTGAAACCCCCTGGCCGAGAGAGCAGACCTGAGCGAATTGTTGTTATAATGAGAGGATTGCCTGGCAGTGGAAAGACACATGTTGCAAAGCTTATTCGAGATAAAGAGGTAGAATTTGGAGGACCTGCACCTAGAGTTCTAAGCTTAGATGATTACTTCATCACTGAAGTGGAAAAAGAAGAAAAAGACCCAGATTCTGGAAAGAAGGTGAAAAAGAAGGTCATGGAATATGAATACGAAGCTGAGATGGAGGAAACCTACCGCACCAGCATGTTCAAAACTTTCAAAAAGACTCTGGATGATGGCTTCTTCCCCTTTATCATCCTGGATGCCATCAATGACAGAGTTAGACATTTTGACCAGTTCTGGAGTGCAGCAAAAACCAAGGGTTTTGAGGTATATTTGGCTGAAATGAGCGCAGATAACCAGACTTGTGGCAAGAGAAATATTCATGGAAGAAAACTTAAAGAAATAAATAAGATGGCTGACCACTGGGAAACTGCACCTCGTCATATGATGCGCCTGGACATTCGTTCTCTGCTGCAAGATGCTGCTATTGAGGAGGTAGAGATGGAGGATTTTGATGCAAATATCGAAGAACAGAAGGAAGAAAAGAAAGATGCAGAGGAAGAGGAAAGCGAACTGGGTTACATTCCGAAAAGCAAATGGGAGATGGACACATCTGAGGCCAAGCTAGACAAGTTGGATGGCTTGAGAACTGGTACTAAAAGGAAACGTGACTGGGAGGCAATTGCCAGCAGAATGGAGGATTATCTTCAGCTCCCTGATGATTACGACACTCGTGCTTCTGAACCTGGGAAGAAGAGGGTGAGATGGGCGGACCTGGAAGAAAAGAAGGACGCAGATAGGAAAAGGGCCATAGGTTTTGTGGTCGGACAGACTGATTGGGAGAAGATCACAGATGAAAGTGGTCACCTGGCTGAGAAAGCCCTCAATCGAACCAAATATATATGATACTTAGTTTTTGAACGGAGTCATTGTTCCTCTAAGGTGGTTCGCTTTGAGGTGATCTGAAGCCACGACCTCATGGAGCTTCGTTGTGTGTCACCTTGCCTTCCACGTTTCGGTTTTTGTTTTGTTTCTACCACTTTAGTTTTTTAAAGTTCTCCAGTGTCCCCAAGAGGTATTAGAATCTTGCTGTACCCAAGCAAGACATTAATTTTTCTTTTTAACTATTTTGGGGAGGGAGGGAGTGATAGCTTAACTGCTGAAGCCAGGTGGAGGGTCTGCTGGAGGATTCCACCAGAAAACATTTCCTCCGCTGTACAATGTCACAGACTATCTCTATCATCATTGCTTTGTGGCTGTTTTTGTTTTTTACTGTATGTAACTGGTAGCTGATTGTACTAGGATTAAAAACAATAAACTTTCACGATAAAGCCAAAAAAAAAAAAAAAAAAAAAAAGGATGCTGGCGAGGATGCGGAGAAAGGGGAACCCTCCTACACTGTTGGTGGGAATGCAAGCTGGTGCAACCACTCTGGAAAACAGCATGGAGGTTCCTCAAAATGTTGAAAATAGAACTACCCTATGACCCAGCAATTGCACTGCTGGGTATTTACCCTAAAGATACAAACGTAGTGATCCAAAGGGGCACGTGCACCCGAATGTTTATAGCAGCAATGTCTACAATAGCCAAACTATGGAAAGAACCTAGATGTCCACCAACAGACGAATGGATAAAGAAGATGTGGTATATATACACAATGGAATACTATGCAGCCATCAAAAGAAATGAAATCTTGCCTTTTGCGACGACATGGATGGAACTAGAGGGTATCATGCTTAGCGAAATCAGTCAATCGGAGAAAGACAACTATCATATGATCTCCCTGATATGAGGGAGAGGAGATGCAACATGGGGGGTTAAGGGGGTAGGAGAAGAGTAAATGAAACAAGATGGGATTGGGAGGGAGACAAACCATAAGTGACTCTTAATCTCACAAAACAAACTGAGGGTTAATGGGGGG